AAATTCCAATGCGTGGTTTCTACAGACTTTTAAAAGGTTTACAACAAGGACGATATCGTTTTTTAAAACAGGTCGTCATTTTTTTCTCCTGACCATGACGTTGAACGTTCACCCGTTGACTGTTCTGATGTTTCAACTTAGGGTACACTTAGTGCGAATGCTTCGTTAACGGGGAAATACCAAAAGGATAGATCTACTAAATTAAATGCTTACTTATTTCTATAATTTCTATAAAGTATTGGAGGCGTGTGTACTTGAAACTGTCAACTGGGTCTTGTGTCCTTATAGTCTCACTGAGAAGCTGTTGTCTAGTTAGAATCTGTTCCACATCAACTACGGAAAAAGGTACTCACAATTAAATTATCTTTTTTATGTTAGGTTTTTGCAGTTCAAAACGAAACGTAATAGAATGTAAATATTTTAGGTCTCATTGTTGTTTTTTGTTTTGTTTTTGTTTTTGTTTTTGTTTTTCTTGGTAAGTGTTTTACGCGCGTTCACAACTGCGTAAGGTCTTATGGGCGCGCGGGACACACTGAACAGCTTCAGTTGGTAGGACATTTTGAACTTTGCCCGGGTGGCGGCCGAAGGCTACTCTTATCGATTTTGGACCACCAAGGGATCTTTAGCGTACGTGACTCGCACACGGGACTTCGGGGATTTTTGGCTCTTGTCCGAGAAGGCTAGGTGCTAGATAAGACCTACCATAAAATCAGAGGTGAGAATGAGCCAAGGAGAAGCAGTATAAAGGCTGCAGAAAGAGTCGGGGGCCTAGAGGAGGGGGCAAAGTAGGTTTGGGGGGGGGGGAATCGGAGACGCAAACAGACGACAGAACATTGCTAGAGAGCAGGAAAGAGGGTTAAAGGGAAACATTTTAGACAAGAAATTGTTCAGTCGCTGTCAGGACTTGAACCCTGGCCCTGTTGAATGAGAGGCAGCCACCTTAACCTCTTGGCCACGAAAGCCCCCGGTCTCATTGTGCATAACATACTCTTGAACTATTCAGAGCGAAGAAAGCAAATCTTTATGGATTTATGTGGAAACAAAAGTTCGTTGTTCTTTTTTGTTAAAACCATTTTTTTATTTTTATAAACGTTGTCTGCACTTGCTGAATCGTTTATGTGTTATTCATTTCTGTATGGTTTATCTAAACTAATACAGCGTGCGGAGAGTGTGGATAATAGCTTTTTAATTGCAGTTGCATTGTTGTTGTTGTTATAATAATAATAATAATAATTATTATTATTATTCTTATTTTTATTATTATTATTATTATTATTATTATTATTACCATTATTATTATTCTTATTATTCTTATTTTTATTATTATTATTATTATTATTATTACTCATTTTATATTGTTATTATTATATGCTATTTATTTATTTATCTATTCTTTTACTTATGTATCTATTTATCTCTTCATTTACTCATTTATCTATTAATTTTAAACAATATTTATTTAAGTTCATTTCGCGCACTCAAATAAGATTTTCAAAATTTAACAGGCAGGCTCTGGTGGTCGTATCAACACGTCGTTTGTTCTCTATTTATACAGCTCTAGTGTTTGTGCAAGTTCAGGTGTTGGAGAAACGCCACAAGAGAACAGAGATGGCCTCTGGAAACGAAACTTATGGAACGTCGTTTGGACCACTGCCTAGCAGAATGGTCAACGATCTAGTCCTTGCAATTTTTGTCATCAGTTTCTACGTAATTATTTTAGGAGCCATCAGCTTCTTTGGCATTGTGGCTAACGTCATCAACCTAATCGTTTTTATCAGACAGGGCTTTAAAGACACGGTGATCATCTCTTTGTTCAGCCTGGTCGTTGCCGATATAGGGGTACTGATTGCGTCGCTCTGGCTGAGTATTGGTTTTAACCCTTCCTTTGCAAATGCGTGTCTGTCTTTTGATCCCAAGGAGGTCTGGATCTCACGGCAGGGTGGCCAGGTACTTGCTTTTCACGTATCTCTGGTTGGATTACAGCCTCCATAATGCTTGAAAGATGTCTCTGTATTGCTGTGCCTCTGAAAGTTAAAACAGTGATAACAGTAAAGAGAACAGTTATCGCACTCGTTAGCATATACGTGGCAATGATAGGTGCCCTGCTGCTAGTGTTTTATGCCCTTCGTCTGGAGCCCAGATACTCTCCTCTAAAGAACGAGACCAAGATAAGAATCGTTTATATTACCAACGGCTTTGCCATAGAAAGTGCTGTTTTCTTGATTAATGCCTTCTCTCAACTCATTACCTTTAGCATCGTCATCATTTGCTCTATAATCCTTGTCCAAAACCTTATTAGTAAGTCAAAATGGCGGAAGTCTACTTCCAGTTCTGGAGATCATGATGCTTTTTCATATAGAGACAAGAAAATTGTGAAGTTGGTTCTATTTATTGCGATCATTTTCATAGTATGCCTCTTGCCAAGTGTAATTAACTTTATTGCACAAAGTTTAGAACCCGAATATACCGCATCAGGGAAATACGGAGATTTGTTTTTGCTGATATTAGTGATATGGTCATTTTCTGCTTCCTTATCAGCAACGAATTCTGCAGTGAATATCTTTGTGTATTACAACATGAGTTCAAAGTACAAGCAGATCCTGGACAAAATGCTTCTCCGATGCACAAAGGGCTAATATTAGAACACAAAGAGCTGCTACTTTTCGAAAACGTATATTATTATAATATACAAACCAACTGTGAGTTTTGACCAGCCTTTGAAACTGCCTAACTAATGATTTGAAAATACAGTATGATCAAATCCTGACAACTTCGAAAAGAAAAGGAATAATTATGACATTTGTTTTTAAGAAAATAAAAACGAAACCTTAAAAAGAAACCAAACCAACATTGCCACAGACCCAAAAATGATAATAAATTATTTATGTCCCATTGGCACGATTTAAATGGTTTAGGAAGCAGGCTGCTTTGACCTTGTTTGTCAATTCTGGGGCTGACGGGAATCACTCGTGGTCTGAAGGTCCCGAGTGCTGCGAAGCTGTCGAGATGATTTTCTGCGTTCCTGAGCCTGGTATCCAGTCGAAGAGTTCTCTTTCCGACAACCCAGTTCATTCTTTGATGTTGACACGTCAGATATTTCGTAAGAATAGTTTCAGATTTATTCTTCACCCATGGCTGAAGGGACCTATACTGATTTCATATACATTTCCTTCACAGAAAATAATAAAAGATCCCTTTAGCACTCCCCCCCCCCCCCTCGTAAAGAACCGGAGCTTTCCTTCCAAAGTCCATTAACTAGATGTACTACTTGCTGTGTTGTTATTATTTTTGGGCTTATTACACATCTGTATCATATTTATCATTTTTTCCTCCTTGTTTTTATCTCTCTAATTTGGCACCACTTAAAAATCAACCCTCTGTATTTACACAAACTACTTAATATAACAGGAGAGTTGATATAGCACACTGGATTATTTTTAAAAAAAAGAAGAATCAAATCTTGAGTGGATAGACAACCAGAAGCAATAAACGTTTGTCTGTTAAACTTTGGCTTTTGTTGAGTTGTTTTTATGTATTGTGTGTGTACGAGGGCTCTCTGTCAAGTAATTTGAAAATGGCAAGTGGGAAAGAAATTTTGTATGGATCTCAATAACCCTCACTCACTTCTAGGCTAGTTTTCAGGATTGTTCCTATGCAAATCTAAGAGGTTTTTTTTACCAGCATCTTAACCCAGGATTTTCATATTGGAAAACACCTGATGAAAAGACCATAGACAAAAGCGAACGTCTGCGATAGAATTGTCACATTATTCTCTGGGCTTCTTTCCAACTAAAAAAGCTCTTGAAACCAGAAAAGATGAAATTCGAATGGAACATGGTTGGGAATGTGAGGAGGATGCCACAATAAACCCCCCACCCCACCCCCCCACCCCCCTCCCCCCACACACTTTTTTAAATCCCTCCCACAAAAAACTGGAGAAGAATGGTTCGGCTTCGGGTATGGAAGAGGCAATAGAAATGGAATCGTCTACATGAACACAGTAGTACAGAAAAATATTCAAGTCCATTAAGACCTCTTTCCTTGCTTCATTGACGATTCAAAAGCTTTTGACAGAATCCATCACATCAGCATGATTGAATGTTTGGAGAAGATAGGTATTGATGGCAGAGATATACGAATAATAGGAAAGCTTTACTGGCAGCAGGAGGCAGCAATTAAAGTGTGTAATAAAATATCAGAATAATATTAAAATCCCTAGATACGCGGATGATACAGTTCTGCTTGCAAACACAAACGAATATCTTTCTAAAATTGTGAAAGAACTAAAAGTGAACAGCAGCAAGACAGGCCTCGACATCAATGCCAATCTCCCCCCCCCCCCAACCTCATATAGAGTCTTATCAAAATCTTCTGGGACAACAACAGACATAACCATTGATATTGATGGGAAGTGGATAAATCAAGTACGCCCATTCAAATATCTAAGGGCAACAATCACAAACGATGGAAGAAGTGAAAAGGTAATGAATATAAGATCAGCAGGCTGCAAAATCAAGATTCAGCCAAATGTACAAACTATTTAAATCCAGGCAAGTATCTCTCACTTTAAGAAAGAAAATGCTGTCTTGCTACACCTTCCCCATATTCATATATATTGCAGAGACCTGGACTTTGACAAGGAAAGAAGAAAACAAAATATATGCGTCTGAGATGTGGCGCTACTGTAGAATGGCCAGAATAAGTTGGAAAACAAAAAAGACCAACAAAGAGGTGTGTCAGATTCTACACACAAGACAAACCTTGCTGAACAAAATAGAATGTAGAAAAATACAATACTATGGCCACTCAAAACGATATGAGACCATTGTGAAAGAGGTGCTTGAAGGAAAGATGTGGGTCAGGAGAGCTAGAGGAAGGCAAAATATTGCATTGATGAGCAACATAAGAACATGGACTGTCCTGGATACGACAGAATGTGCAACGGCAGCTAGCGACCGTGAAAGATGGAGGGTCATTACACGTCAACCTCTGGGGCAGAGATGACAGTTACAGGTATCCAGGTATCCAGGTATCCCTAATCCTGCCTTTGGATCAAGTCTGTAATTTGATTCCCGTTGTAAAGAGTGATGTCGTCTTATTGGAGAACAGTGTCACTGCTCATATCGTAAACAGATTCTCGCAACTGTCCACAACAATAATGGTAGCTCAATGTATTGATATGTGTTCCAATCCGAAAGACCACCGAGAAGCATTTTTAATAACATTTAAACGAAACACAGAGGTGAACAACTCCTTGGCAGAATGCTAACCTCTGACTTTATCGGAGTCCTGCAAGTTGCATATTCGTCTGTCCTGAGTTGCACAAAAAGTTTCAGAAATAATATTCCTGCTTTTTCTATTCACATTCTTTGCCATACACCTCTACACTTTTCTTGAATATTTCTTTTAGATTAATCCTGTGTGCATATACAATCTATATAACTTTACACCTTCAACTAGCTTATGGTTTAGACGGTTCCTCATAGTTGATTTTTTTTGTTCAAAGTCGTTTTGTTTTGTTGTTGTTGGTTTGTTTGTTTTTTGCTCTTTTGTTTTTGTTTCTGGTCTTTGGTTGTTTTTGAGGGGTAGGGGATAAAAGCCATGCTTAAAAAGCGATGAATGATCTTACTGCAAAACATTGCATGTAAACTCAATAGAATCGAATCGTACCGGGTTAAAAGTTTAAAAAAAGTTTTTACTGTGACTCCAGGACACATGTACAAACAACGTGGTAAAGTTTAGTGTTTAGATTGTTAGACATACAAATGTATAAAACCTAGAAGGATCGGTGGCCTAGTGATTAGGCTCTCAGACTCGCATCAGTAAGACCGTGGGTTCGAGACAAACGAGCAATCTTTAAGACGATACCAATAACTCAACATGTCCCAAAATTGAGGAACGCCTGATACCACCGCGTTGTGACACATTTTGTTGGTGCTGAACTGTGTGTCACATTTGCTGCATGTTTTCTTCACTTTGGTGGTGTGTGTGGCGATGAAGAGTTTGCTCTTTTTGAATGTTTCAGTTTTTACACCCACATCGCCAAAATAAATATCATTTAGGAGGTGGGCTTCCGACCCCGTCTGTCAGGTCCAATCCGGGCTGAGAGGGATGCAATACCCAAGCAGAAAGTCCAAAACACTCGATACATTTTTTCTCCCCACTCGGGAATCGAACTCAGGCCTACTGTGTGCAACAGCGAAGTGCCTACACCAAGGACGCGAAAGGGGTGAAAGGATGCAGCCTTGTCTCACTTTTGATGTTGTTAAGACACATTCCGTGAGACCCTTGTCTTAAAAATGAAAACAATGACTTTCTTCCTTGTTGTTATTTTTTTTTTATTGTTGTTGTTGTTGTAGTTGCCGTTGTCGTTGGTGGTTTTTGTTGCTGTTGTTGTTGTTGCTGATGATGATTATGTTGTAGTTTTATTGTTGTCGTCGTTGTTGTTATTGGAGGTGACGTTGGAGCCAGTATTTAATTAAAATTTGGCAGCTGGTTGATCTTGTGGGACTCCAGCCGTGTCGTAAGCCTCAGATCGCGTCACTGGTGATTTGTTCCTGTCCTGAAAAGGTTGATGGTCAGTATCAGAAGTCGTTGCTGACATCAGAGGGTGAAAAATGGACACTGAGACATGAGTGCAGATGATAAACACGAACGTAACAACACTTTTGATTCATCTGTACCCCTGGGTTTATGCACCCCGCATAATTTAGCAAAATGTGTTCATTTCTGGCATAATTTATGATTATTTTCTTTGTATCATTCTTAGTTTAAATTATCAGAATCTTATAATTTCACATCTTTTGGGCTCATTTTGCATAGTTTCAGGATTTTCCTTGAATAAAACGACGGGGACAGATTCATGCTTGACTAGTAAGCGTTGATGGTCAGCATCAGAAAACGCTGACGAAATCAGAGGTTTAAAATAAACAGCTCGACATGAGTGCTGGTAGAAAAACGAATTCTGACATGGTCATCAGTGTACAACGAGTAGTATTGTTTGTTTAGTTCGCGCCACGGCTGTCACGCTAGACTGTCAGAAACCCAAGTGGTCCTGGATCAAATGTACAACGCGATGATTTAGAATGTGCGTTGTTAGGTTATCCCAGTCTTCCATTCAATTGACTTGGCTTTATTGGAAATTGACTTTATGCCAGAAATTTTGCCATTATATCCAAGATTTTGTCATTATTCTATTTGGATTAGTTTTATACCCGTGTCTTGTAAAAGTGGGTGGGGAAGTTGGCTTTCCGAAATAAGTATGTTGCTTTTGTAACATATACACGCGTATTTCATCTTTCACTTTGGTATTTAACAGAGGTGTACATTTTAAACCACACGGAGAGCTATTGTGTTGGATTGTTCAATAACACATCGAATGTTCTACGGTGTCACATACATCTAAAATAAAAAATGATTAGGATAGCAAAAATTACATCTGTGTAGATCCAGTTACAATGAGAATGTAAATTTTAACACAGTTAAGTTGAGACTTACCTTGAGTAAACTAGACTCTCTAAGCCAAACCAAACTAAAGAGAGCAGAAATAGATAATTAATAAAGTCAGTTTCACTGTGGAACCCAAACGTAACTAAAAACAGCTGAAGAACTAAATAAGCAACATAAGTTACAGCAAACTCATCAGGGCATGTAGAAAGTAAACGAAATGTGATAGGACTAAACGAATGAAACTGGGCTAAAACAAAACCAATACATTATAATTTAAAAATTGCTCCCTGAAAGAAAACTAGAAAACATAGTTCCAACCTACAGTGTAAAAAAATATGATCCAAACCAAACTGACCTGGCAGATGTGAACCTAACTCATTTTTGTCCACAGCTCAACAAGACCGAACACAATATACATGTACGTTAAACTGTGTCCTCTCAAAACTTCTATACCCAGAATTTATAGAACTTTGCTGGAACTCCTATTGTTTTGGTCCTCCCGAAGATAATGAATTCGCACTCGATATTTCATAATATTTATTGTCTGTTTCTTAATGTTTGACACCTTGAACTTATTATTGGTGACTACCTCTCCTTGTGAAGTATAGTTTGATTTTTTTTTCTTTATCTCTGAAGATTTTTTTGTCTTTTCTATAATATTATCATTATTGTAGAACTATATTAATACCTAGAGCTTATTATTGACTGTTGTTTATATCAGAAATATTTCTTTTTTCACCTTTAACCTCTAACCTTTTCCGTCTGTTGCTACAGCATACAATCATATCTCACCTTTTTTTCATGGTGAGGAAGCTTCGATTTTCTTCTTGAGTAAGGTAGAATGTTGTTGCGTGGTCCTTGTCAAAATATCTGTCTCATCAGAGGGAAGCTGGTCCATCAGGTCTCCTCTCACATCACGCTGCACATTATGTACTTTATATTCAATTGTGTAAGGGTAGGGATCTTTTCTACATCCCGATGTCTTCCCTACGTGCCCGTGAAGGACGAGGAAAAGAACCAGCAGAAGAGACGGGAGAAACGAGAGCCTCATGCTGTTGTTAGCTTGTCTCGTGGCTAGGTGAAGAAATACAGAAATAAAGACAACAGCACAAATCAATTCCCAGACTTTGCCAAATCTCTGTGTGGGTAAAATCAAGCAAAGAGCTACTTCACGAACGACAACGGACGAGAAGGAGAAGCACAGCTAACCGCTCTTTTAGATGGGTTCACCACAAGCTTTTGTGTGGGTCCTTGGTTGACAAGAGACAGTTGACAGGAGACAGTTAACACAAGACAGTTGGCAAAGACAGTTGACAGGAGACAATTAACAAGAGACAGTTGACAAGAGACAGTTGACAAAAGACTCCTGACAAGACACAGCTGACCAGAGACAGTTTACAAAAGACAGTTGACAAGACACAGTTGACAACAGACAGCTAACAAAAGACAGTTGACAGGAGACAGTTGACAAGTGATAGCTGACTAGAGACAGTTGACAAGAGACAGTTACAAGAGACAGTTGGCAAAAGACAGTTGACCAGAGATAGTTGACAAGAGACAGTTGACAAGAGGCAGTTACAAGAAACAGTTGACAAGAGACAGTTGACAAGTGATAGCTGACTAGAGACAGTTGACAAGAGACAGTTACAAGAGACAGTTGACAAGAGATAGTTGGCAAAATACAGTTGGCAAAAGACAGTTGACCAGAGATAGTTGATAAGAGACAGTTCAGGGCCCTGCTCTGTTGCGACAGAAAATGGCGTGGTTGTAGACTGTTCTGTATTTGAGTAATATTGTGTATTTATTTATAAATTTATTTGTTGAATGTATTTATGTGTGTACGTATTTATAATTATGTATATTTATTTACATATATATGTTTGCCTTTGTAAACCAAAGTGCCCTTCTGGAACAAATAAAAGTGTAATTTATTATAATAATAATAATAATAATAATAATAATAATAATAATAATAATAATAATTATTATTATTATTATCATCATCATCAGCATCATTATTATTATCATTATTATTATTATTTATTATTATTATTATTATTATTATTATTATTATTATTATTGTTCATCTCACTTGGTGTAGGAGAGCGATTTACTGTGTTCTGTGTTCTACTTGTCCGTCCCTTGGCGATCGCATGACAATTGCTTTACATGACAACACCTTTACAATGTGTATAAATAATTATACTTGTCTCACGTCAGAAAGACCAGATACGTCACACAACTCAGAGATCTCATTGTGAACGAACCGTCCTCAACGAGTCTCGACCTCAAAAGATGAGGCAGCTGGACTCTCGACTCGCATAAGTGTCATCGTGTGTACCCACCTTTTCCCTTAGACAGGAGCTGATACCTACGTGTTGATTAGATGTACCAAGGCGATGTACAGTGGCTCTTAGTCCTCTGTCTCTCTTTTATACACACAGTCACAACAGCTGTTCTCTTACAAACCAGCTGTAGATAACATTAAACAGTCGGTATTGTTTTAATGCACACCATTGTTTCTTCCATGTTTAAGTTCATTAGTTGTTTTTAATCTGTCAGTAACCAGATTTTCCATAATTAACGGCATCTCTTTATTGATTTCAACGCACACAACTATAATGTTATGAGCCCAAATTCGTTTTAACATTTCATAGACAAATACGAAACGATTTGAAGAAAAATAAAGTGAACGATTTAGTGGAGTCATTCTTATTCAATGATTAGCTTTAAGAATCTTTCCTAACCAGCTGTTGAGCTCAGATTTCTGAGTGAATGTTAGATCTCTCTCTCAGTCCCGGTTGGATGTCACAGACAGGGTCAAACCTTGTACAACATCTAGTGAAAGTAAACAGAATGAGAATAAAAGTTAAAAGTGGGCTTGGATTGGGGGAAGGGGGGGGGGGGTAAAACTAAAGACACAAAATCGCTTAAACATGGACTTTTGTTTGCTATATGGTCGCTTTTGAGGACAAGCGGGCTAACCCAGATTTCGGGGGTTTCTTTGCAAATGCGTGTCTGCCTTTTGATCCCAAGGATGTCCTGTATCTCACGGCAGGGTGGCCAGGTACTTGCTTTTCACGTATCTCTGGTTGGATTACAGCCTCCATAATGCTGGAAAGATGTCTCTGTATTGCTGTGCCTCTGAAAGTTAAAACAATGATAACAGTAAAGAGAACAGTTATCGCACTCGTTAGCATATACGTGGCAATGATAGGTGCCCTGCTGCTAGTGTTTTATGCCCTTCGTCTGGAGCCCAGATACTCTCCTCTAAAGAACGAGACCAAGATAAGAATCGTTTATATTACCAACGGCTTTGCCATAGAAAGTGCTGTTATCTTGATTAATGCCTTCTCTCAACTCATTACCTTTAGCATCGTCATCATTTGCTCTATAATCCTTGTCCAAAACCTTATTAGTAAGTCAAAATGGCGGAAGTCTACTTCCAGTTCTGGAGATCATGATGCTTTTTCAAATAGAGACAAGAAAGTTGTGAAGTTGGTTCTATTTATTGCGATCATTTTCACAGTATGCCTCTCGCCAAGTGTAATTAACTTTATTGCACAAAGTTTAGAACCCGAATATACCGCATCAGGGAAATACGGAGATTTGTTTTTGCTGATATTAGTGGTTTGGTCATTTTCTGCTTCCTTATCAGCAACGAATTCCGCAGTGAATATCTTTGTGTATTACAACATGAGTTCAAAGTACAAGCAGATCCTGGACAAAATGTTCCTCCGAGGCACAAAGGGCTAATATTAGAACACAAAGGGCTGCTACTTTTTGAAAACGTATATTATTAGAATATACAAACCATCGGTGAGTTTTGACCAGCCTTTGAAACTGCCTAACTAATGATTTGAAAATACAGTATGATAAAATCCTGACAACTTCGAAAAGAAAAGGAATAATTATGACATTTGTTTTTAAGAAAATAAAAACGAAACCTTAAAAAGAAACCAAACCAACATTCCCCCACGGCACATCGGCAGTGGAATTTTAGTTGCCACGGGTAGTTCCCCGCCGGGCGCCTTATCACGTCGGGGTCACGGGGGTCAGCTCCCTGTCGCCGCTGTCTGGGCCGACTTAATTTTTGGTACTTTTCAACGTACAATTTTAGGTGTATCCTAGTATTTATGGCAATTCTCATTTAGTGAACCGAAAGCATGCGTTCTGCTCTTGAGACTCAAAAAAGAACGGACGTTGTAAATTGTCTGGTTGTTTCGTTAGACGCGCTGGAGTCGGCAATGCTAAATTGTAATTTTTTTTTGGACTAGCGTGAATGAAAATAAATCAATATAAAAAAAGGCCTTTTCAAAATCTGTCGAACTTTTAGAACATGAACGACATAGCATTGGTGCAGACACTCAGAAAAGATGGTATCTGCACATACATTAGAAAGCTGTAATTTTGCAACTTTATCCATCGGGTACACAACACGCTATGAAGTAATTCCTCCAAATACAACTTCATGTGTCTTATATAATCCTGAATATTCGCATATTTTTTCGAAAGTTTATAAAAGTTACCAAGAAGTTTCTCTATGAAAAGCACAAATCGATTTTAGTGCCAGAATACATCTTCAATGTAATACACGAACAGTATCTGTTACACTCCAGAAATTCCTTACTTTTCTTAAAACGCTTAGTGTAGGTTTTGTAAGTTAATGAATATTAGAGATGACTTCTCGTAATTGGGTTATAAGAATAATTTCTAGCTGTCCATGGACACTGAATCAGCACCAGACTTTTCCAGCTTTATTTTTCGTTTCTATGACCATTTGCAATAACTGACAATGAGACTGATTTCTTTACATTCATAATTGTGCATAATTCCGAAACTAAGAATGAATGTGTCATTATTTTTATTCCATACAAGAAGTTTATCTCTACCCATGTATTTACACGGTTTTGTAGGTTTTTTATCGCTTAGATTCTATATTATATCTTTTTAGTTGTATGCAGGCTGCCACAGACACAGCATGATTCATGAACAACCACAGAGTAACTTTCTCTTGTTTAATAGTAAAATAAGAGTCAACGCTGATCGTCTTTCGTTAAAAAATGCAGATGTGCATCTTTCTTCTCTATAACTTGACTATTACTACTAGCGCAGATTTAAGATTTCTCATGGTAAAAGACATGGTATTCGTAGTCAGTTTAACACTGATTTTGGAGAGCTCTGGTGTGCCTTTTTTAAATTAACAATCATTTATTCATAAGTTTGTAACTAAAATGGGACAAATTGGGTACTCTACAAATATTCGTCTAGAACAAAAACTAAAGCACAGATATTAACCATTCTAACGCAGAAAAAGTCTCAAGACATTGAGCTTTTAGTACATCCGCGTGATGGTTTGCTATGCGGGATGGGGAAGAAGTTATATCGTTTTAAACATAGTCAAAAATGCGAACTTCCTAACCGACACCGGCAAAGTCGCTTCAGGGCTCGTTAACCCCGTGATCCCGAGCCGGGGAGCTCCGGCGGGCTGCTGAGTCACGCGAACTAAAAGTAACAGAATCGGGCGAAAAGTGACGCCGTGCCAGGTCCCCAGACACAAAAATGATAATAAATTCTTTACGCCCCATTGACATGATTGAAATAGTTTAGGAAGCAGGCTGCTTTGACCTAGTTTGTCAATTGTGTGGCTGACGGGAGTCACTCGTCCCTTGACTTGCGTAGTCTGAAGGTCCTGAGCTCAGAGAAGCTGTCGAGATTTTTTTCCGAGTCCCTGAGCCTGACGTCCAATCTTTGATGTTGACTGCTCAGGTATTTCATAAGAATACAAATGTAGTTTCAGGTTATCAGATATTTTGGAAGACGGCAGCCTCGGCAAGGCAACCACAAAGTGTTTATTCGATGCCCATGGCTGAAGGGACCTAGATCTAGACTGATTTCATAGACATTCCATTCACAGAAAATAATCAAAGGCCCCACACAGCAATACCTGCAGACCCCCCCCCCCCCCGGCCTCCCCCCCCGGCCTCCCCCCCACTCCCATTGCAAAGAACAGGGGCTTATCTTCCAAGGTCAATTAACTTAATGTACAGCTTGCTAAGTTGATATTATTGTCTAGCTTATTGGTCACCTGTATGACTGTATGATATATACTATTTTATCCCATACATCTTTTTTTCTCGTAAATTTGGCATTACTTAAGACGCACATCTACGTACAGGACTTGCACAAGGCACTTACTACAATAAAGAGTTGACATAGCACGCTGGTTTAGAAAAAGAAACAAATTTGAGTGATAGACAATCAGAAGAAATAAACGTTTCTCAGTTAAAATTTGGCTTTTTTGTTGAGTTGTTTTTATGTGTTATATATGTACGATGGGCTCTATGTCAAGTAGTTTGAAAATCGAAAGTGGGCAAAAAATTGTGTATGGAACTGAATAACACTGACTGTTGATGCTAGATATCATTATAGTTCGTCTGCAATTCAAGGAGTTTTTCCATTAGAGGATCTATAGCGTCCTGATTTGTTTTTTTTTGCTTTTGTAGAGGTTTTACGGCGCTCGAAACTGCAGGTCATATGAGCGGCAATAGCGTCCTGGAAAACTCTTGATAAAAAGGCTATAGCCAAAAGCGAACGTCTTCGATAGGATTTTCACAATATTCTGTCAGCTTCTTTACTACAAAAAGAAGCTCTTGAAACCTGAAGAGATGAAATTCAAAAAGAACATGGTCATGGCTGCGGGGAGGATGCCACGATAACAATGTCCCTGCTCGTATCGGTAACAGATTCTAGCAACTGTCAACAACGATAATCGCAGTTCATTGTAGTGATAAGTTTACCAAGGCGAAAGACCGCCGAGGAGAGGAAGAAAATGTGAGGCATCGTGGCGAAATCAGGCGCTCGTCAAAATAGTGAAATCGAGGAAACAGGCTTTTTTCCAGTCAGTTTGGCAATTTTAGCGAATATTTGTTATTTGGCTCAACACCTTTTATGTCCATATAAAAACACATTTTAAGGGAATTTTACTGAAAAACATTGATTAAAGGAAAATAAAGTGATTTTTCATTTTTCAAAGCCTCTCAAGCCATTGAAGTTACCAAACTTTGGGGGTAATTTTTCGCTAATTTTATCTATGAATCCAGCCGACCCCTACCCCATCTAATAGGAAATATTTCTATTTCTGTTCAAGATAAAAGGGTCTTTTTGAAATCTAAAGCAAGGTAATTGAATAAGCTTTCAGATGATACCAATAACTCTAAGATAGTCAAACATTGACGAGTGCCTAATTCCACCGCTTCATGACACATACCAGCTAAACAAAATGTTGTTACTTGGAACATAAAACAATGTAACTAAAACAATGTTTAGTAGAAGTATAGGGTTTTACGGCGCTCGCAACTGCTAAGGTCATATGAGCGCCCAAAACAATGTTTAACACTACTAACCTTCTGTCTGCCTGCGCCTACAACAGGAGTTAGCCAAACCTGTTTCTCTGTTTCTCTCCTGATGGTGATCCTTTCCTCAGCGATGGGGCCCCGATGTGTTGGAATCTCACTAGTTACACATAAATAAACCGAGGCTCTAACTAGCCTTTTCTCCACCTTTACTCTCAGCAGGCGTCCTCTGCCTTGCTACAGTTCTCCCCTCTAAAGTCTCACCTGTAGTAATCCAGACTGCTTTTATACACTTGCACCAACTGAACTGAGACTCACACTTTACTCACTCTCACACGTTCAGCCAAACAATACAATAAGCTAGGCCTAACCCGGCCCTTGTCACTGACCAACACGCCAGACTGCAAAGTAAACAACCGAATAGACCACACAAAACACAGTGGCGAACAACTCCTTCACAGAAGGCTAACATCTGACTTTGTCGGAACCCTGCAAATTGCACGTCGTTCCTCGGTCATGCGCAGTACAAAAAATTTCAGAAATATTGTCCCTGCTTATTATCCTAATCACATTTGGATTCATTCTGTTTGCAGACAAAATCTAGACTCTATAATATAACTTTCCACCTTCTACTAGCTTATGGTTTAGACGATATCTTTCAGTGTTTTGTTTTTGTGTTGTTGTTCAAATTCGTTTTGTTTTGTTGCAGCTTCTTTTTTTGTTCTTTCGCTTTTGTATCTAGTCTTTGTTTGTTTTCAGATGGTAGGGTGTGGTACGGGGGTTGGGGAGGGGGGGGGGGGGATAAATGCCATGCTTAAAAAGCGATGAATTATCTCACTAGAGCTGAGCGAAGGATCGATTCCGGAACCGATTCCCACGATTAATGCTACGTAAGAAAAATTCCGACTCATTTTTATGTAAACCAACGGTTAGCAGTTACTTTGATCATACACATTTTCTTCTATTTTTTAAATTATTTTATTTTTAAAGTTGATGCTTCGTAGTGTTCCGAAAGCAATGTTATCATAAACCCTGAAGATGTTCGGAGCCAACCACCAGGTAACCACCCGAAGAAATCACATCATTTGAAAGAAAGTAATTGTGTTCGGAGTCGATTCCTACGATTCCTAGCTTTCAATAACCGGGAACCTAACCGCCCAGCACTATATCTTACTGCAAAACATTGAATATAGGCTCAGAAATAGAAAGGAAGCGTACCTGGTTAAAAGTCTTTTATTCTTTTTACAGTGACTCCTTTATCCCTGTACAAACAACAATGTAAAGTTTAGTGTATCGGTTGTTAGACATTAAAAAAGAACAAGTCATAATGTGATCGGTGGCCTAGTGGCTCAGACTTGCAACCGTAAAGTAGTGTGTTCGAATCCCCTCAGCCACCCGACG